AAAATATTGTAATAACACTTGTAATATCATATGAATTCTAATAAAGGAACAGAGGCACGGCCTCGCTTTTTAAAAAATAAAAAAATAAAAAAAAAAAAAAATAAAATAAAAAAAATAAAAAAACAAATCCTAAAAAACCCTAATTTAAATTCTAAAAATCAAAGCATATGTATTTAGTTAAAATAATCTTTATATACGTATATATATATAACATCAACAAAGATCTTCAAATATTATATAAAAGAAGAAGTTACTTAAATTATTACTGTATTTAAAAAGTATACAAATAAAACTACAAATCTTCACTTTTATATTGTTATTTTATAACTACAGTCACACCCTCTAAGTGCACATCTCTAAGTGCAAGTACTATGTAAAACCTCTCTAAATACATGATACAGTTTGGCACCAACTTATAAGAACCTTATGTATTTTATTCTCTATAAGTGCAAACTTTCTCTAAGTCCAAAATTTTAATTTTTTTCACTATAGTCCTAACAGGATGTATTTAGAGAGATATGACTATATTTAGTTTAACAACCCTTTGTTTTATTTTTTAATATTTTTAGAGTTAGTAATTTTCAAAGTTGTGATTACCAAACCATTATTAAAGGTAGTTTGATTTAAAACTTTTGCTAGAGATTATATTAGAAGATAAAACAATAGCTGTTAAAAGTAGACATATATTAAAAGATAAACTTGTTCTTGATAAATTTGTAAAATATAAACCTATAAAATGTGGATCTTCAGAAATTTTTATCAAAGATAAACTTGTGATAGATGAAAATAAGAAGATCTCTGATAGCAAAACTATAAAAGATAAAACTCTAAAATATAGAAATATGAGAATAAGCAAAATATAAAAACAGTAAAAAGCAATATTATAGAGAGTAACACTGTAAAATATAAAACTGTAGAATATAAAATTGTAGAATATAAAAATATAGAATCTAAAAATATGGTAGTGAACCTGTGAATAAATTTATAGAAATTAATAAAGATTAGTTTAAAGTACTAAAATAATATAGTGCCTAATTTCTTCTTTCTCTTAATTAATAATTTGCTACTCAATCAAAGAAAGCTTTTAGTATAATATAACATAGTTTATATATAGAAATTAGAGTTTTTGAAATATAAGCTAGGGTGTGGCGACTTAGTGAAGTGGTGAAGTTGTCGCACCCCCAAGCGGTTGAGTACAAGTTCAATTCCCACT